GCCCGACTTCTGCGAGGGCACCTTGCCCTACTCCTACAACCTGTGCGTGGCCGCGCCGGCCCGCGCCGCCGCCGAGGCCGCTTGGCCGCCGCCGCCGCTGCCCATCCTGCCCGCCGAGGAGCTTCTGGCCGGGGAGCCCTGCGACAAGCCGAGCCCGAGCAGCAGCGCCGTCGCGGGAGAGCCGCCCACCGACCCCGACGCACCGCAGGTCTGTAAAACTCACGCTGTTCCCCTTGAGCCTTTCTTAACAGGCTTCATCTTTTTTCTGTGTTTTTCCCCATAAATTGTGTGCTTGGGTTGAGCTGATCCCTGAAGAAAGTAAGAAACGTGGTATCACCTTTCCACTCTCGGTAGGCTGGCCAGCCGAGGCTTTTGATTCTTCGAGACTCACAGCTACTGTTGCACTTCACAGAATCATAGAATTTGACGGGTTGGGAAGGTACTCTGAGATCATCAAGTCCGACCCTTGATCCGTATCTACCACAGTTTCTAGACCATGGCACTACGTGCCACATCCAACCTCTTCTTAAATACCTCCAGGGATGGAGAAACCCCTCCTCCCTGGACAGGCCTTTCCAATGCCTGATTACCCTCTCTGTAACGAATTTCTTCTTAATATCTAACCTACACTTCCTCTGGCAGAGCTTTTGCTTAGATTTTGATGACTGCAACGCCCCTTTAAGCAATTACCTGTGAACGCAGTAAATTAGTGATCGTGCATGGTGAAAAAATGAGCTGAACGCTTGGTTTCTCCTTCTGATAGCTTTTTCCTAGATTGATATGCTTGCACCTGGTCAGTACTGTTTCAATATAGACTCCGAAATGTAACACTGTTGTAGATGAAGAACGAGGTTTTAAAAGGAAGAAATAGTTTTAATTTGGGTTTCATTGTCTGTTTTCTTTTCATATCCTCTTTAAAAAAGAGAAGTGCTTGGACCTTGTATAGCAAATTCATTCTCCTAGCTTTTGGTTTGGGGGAGGGGGGTATTGTTTCAGTGATAGTTGCATCTGTCTGCTTAAAAGGATCCAAAAATTTACGTTAAATCTGAAGGAGATTTGCCATATAACAATGTCAGCTCTTGAATTTGCACATTTATCAGGAGTACTCTAACTGAGAGTGTGCAGCTGTACTTCTCTTTTCCCACTGTCCTAAAGTATTTTGTTGAAATACGTTGTAGCTACGTGAATATACAAGCATTAGCACAGTTAACAAGCAACAATCCCTTACACCTTGATTTCTGAGAAAGAAAAGCCTCTTCCTGGGGATACAGAATGACGTGATTGTATGTAAATATATGTGTGTGTAATGTGTCCAGGGTCACTGCAGGTGCTTTCCAGCCTCTCGAGTAGTGGTAGATGCAGTCATAACGGAGTGATCAATAACGGACAGTCTGAAACACAGGGATGGGAGAATATGAATTCCCAGGAGTAGGGCAGCCTCCTCCTGTACTGTGGCCTCAGGAAGGTCTTTTAGGGAGAAATCCCGGAGAACCTGGCAGGTGGTTGAGCAACCCATCTCTTCTGGAATTGTGGGGTTTGGGGTCGTTAGCGTCTCAGTTTCAGTGGGCTGACACCACTTCCTTCCAGCTTTAGAGGTCTCAGTATCAATCAGTGTTGGCAGAGTAGTTGATTTAGGTACTATGGACTAAGACATTCATAATCAAAGTTCCCGATGCCTGGTTAAATAAGCTTAATACCTGTGGTGTTCCGGGAGGAGGGGGTGTGTGTCTGATAGTGAACATCAGAGCCAGCTTCCTTTTGCTACTCTTGGACCAGTTATTTAATTATAACTTCTAAAAATACTTGTGATGAAATTTTTAATTCTGAACTACTCTATTAAGACTCGTAACACCCTGTACGTCGTAATAAGGAAACTATGACATACACATTGTGCGTGCACTGCCGGGAGGAGGCTGCGGGCGCCGCTGTTGACCGAGATGAGAGAGAGGAAGCC